CATTCTGCCGTTTTGTAACCGTTTCTACACGACCACAAGCCAAGAATTTCTTAATAGCTAATCTCATTTGTTTAAACTAGTATCTGTTTCTTTAATTAAAACGGTCATGGAATTATGCAAGTCAACTCGTGGAAGATTGTAAGTAATGAAAAACAAGAGTAGATTCAATCTTTAATCTGGTAAAAGTGATATTTAATTCTAAACTTTATCATTCTATGAAATAGGCCAGGGTGTTAGGGAAACGCTCCCGAAAACAGTACTAATGATACATTTGGGTTCATAGGCAGGGTAGCCTATTGGAGGCCCTAAGCACATTAGGATAATGGGCCCCTTATGACGTTGGCCCATTGCTATTATGTTAGAATAGACAAAAAAAAGTATTATAGTCAGTCATTATCACTGGATTTTTCGAAATAAATATGGTTTTCTTGTATTAATTATCGAAAAGTGATCTGGCAGGAATTAGCCACGTGCCCAGCGTGCCCTGTTCATAGGTCAGAAAAAAGTCTAGATCATTTTCGATGGTATAATTCAATGAATATCAATACTTCAATACTCTGATTCAATTTCAATACACTATACTGATTCATTTCTGCATCACACCGGGATGGTCAATTATTTCTTTACTTTCATCAAGTGAGTGACGTTACGAGAGCTCGTCATATAATCAGAGCACTAGATTTAAGTCTATACAGAGTCGCGGACGATCAAGCAATGGCTGCGCTAGAGTGTACATCTTGCTACGTGACTCAGTGATGCGACATACTACTACTTACTAAAGTAGTGATGTTACAACACGCACCTGTGTTTGTTTAGTTGCAGGTATCCATCCATCCAAAAAATGAAAATATAAATTTATATAGACCTGTTGGGTATTCCAGTCTTAAAACATGCCAATTCACTATGAAGTAAAGCAATGTAATGTCAATAAAAATAACATTGATTAGATAATGTAGTTTTTATTAAAGAAATAAAACGATTTAAATATTATTCGTTTATAGCAATTATAAAAATCTTTTAATACGAAAAAACATTAATATATAATATTATAATAATTATTATTAATATGTACGGCAGAATCGCCCAAACGCACGGCAATTCACCCTAGTTGACACAAGATGCTCATAGGATACCGCCCCAGATGTCACCTGTTAGCCATTCAGCATTATATTACGTTCATTGTACCAAGAACTATATTCCCAGAGGATATAATTAGCAAAACGGAAAGCATAACCTCCCAAATAAAAAATATAAAAAAAAAAAATACAGACGAATTGAGAACCTCCTCTTTTGTGTTTTGGAAGTCTGTTAAAAATTATAGTTCTGAGGAAAACCGACCGAATTGAGAGAACGTGCATCTTTTTATTAAAGTAGGTTTGAAAGTGGTCATAAAATAAGTATAAATAATCCTATCAACTCAGCTAGACAGTACGGGCAGTAATAACTAGTTCATTCCCTGACGGTTCAAAGTTGAACTGATAACGGTCCTCTGTGTAATCGTTCAGTTGGGCTCAAAGCGGTTATTGATATATCGTGCTAATTAAATAATATATTTTATTGATTAACTACCTACGTCGATTGGAAAATATATTTTTATTTTTTTGGCATATTTTCACCCTTCTACGATCAACCCCTGTTTTTAATGGCAAAACAATGTTTACCGAGTCAGCTAGTGTAGATAAAAAAATGTTAAGTAGATTTGTTTGTGCTTCAAAACTCAAAAAGGTCTGCACGGAGTCGAGTTCGAGTCGTCGAGTTCTGCATCTGATCGAGTTCAAATTTTGACACGATATACCCGGTTCAAGGATTATTTATATCTATTTTTCGCGTCAGTTTTGTTCCTAATTTCTCATCAATACAACCACAATGTGTCACAGAGAATCGTAACAGGGTACACATAGTTGATAATATTAGTAATATTTTTCAGGCAGGGAGAAATATTAAAAAAAAAGACAATTAAGCTTTATGAACTGAAAAGCTGTCAACAAAAGGAAACCAATTTTAGTTTTAGTCGACAATTCAACGTAACCACGTGTAAGCTCGTATATAGGTCAATATCTATATGCAAACAATGTTTATTATAGTTGTAGTATGTACATATTATTTTATTTATTTGTCTTCATATTTGGAGCTAATTAATTGCCCTCATAATACCTAATTCTGCAGGACAACAGCACTGCAAAGAGAAGGAAAACTTGAAACAAACCCTATACCAACCCGTCTGGCCAGCTGGTGTAGTAGGCCAAAACCTCTTTTCGAAGGAGGGGCCTATGTCCAGCAGTGGAATATCAAAAGCTGTTGATGATGATACTAACTATATTCTACTCGTAATTATTTATTTTTAAATTAATTAAGGTTCAAGACTTTTAAGTTATTCAGTTTAAAGCAAAAATTTATAAAGTGGATCAGAAAAGTGATATATGAGCTACTAGTGAATTATGAGGGATTAACTTTGCGGGTGAACTTTAATAAATTTGTATAAACAATTTTATGAAAACTTCTGTTTACTTGAAAAGGCAAAAAATATATGTTGCAGGTGTAAGACTGACTTGTACTTTTCACGTTTTAATGCAGCTTTATAGGAATTATTTTAACCTTTAATGTCCATTTTGACTGGACAAAATGTAAATTTGAAATATTACAAGACTATCGATTGAAATTTAAATCGATTTCTTATCTCATTTAAGATAATAAATGATATCACCTTCACTGATTTATTCCATTTACGTAAAACAGATAAAATAATAAGTTATTTAAAAAGGATATTCAGTTATCGCATTAGTTGCATAAATATGCTGTAAAAGATATGTAATTAATAAGTATTATTTTACTCTTGTACTGTACAACAACAATCGGCGCATTATTCTAATCGATATCGACTAGAATAATACGCTGATTTATACACAAAACAGACAGAATTTATTCAAGCCGCAATTATCAACAACTCTTACTAGGGGATGAAGAATGGCTAACGGTAAAAGCCTATACTAATATATAGTCGTGTATAGGTTTAAATTATGTTCATACTGCGGCAAATATATACGTCTGCCATATTTATGAGAATCTCCACATACTTCTGCGCACAGTTGGTATAGTCCATAAGGTCATTTTGCTACCGTATAGATTTTAAAACAGGATTTACAAAATTATTTTTGATGTAAAACATCTAATTATGAGGGTCAGACGGTCTGTTGGCGTGGCGATGCGTAGCCACGGCATGCGTAGTAGTGCAAATCTTTAGCATCTCCACTTTTTGCACATATTATCATATTACAATTATGATATTATTAAATTGCAATTTATTTTTTCCTAGCTTTCCATCTACGCACATTATTTAAACAGAATAATTTGATGTTTCACATCTGCCAGACGTCCTGCTACGGCTCAAATTTCGTTTTTCAATATAATATACGCCTTATTTAATTGATATCACAACAAGATTTGTGATAATTGAGCTTTTTTTTTGTAAATAAGAGCATTAAGAAGTGTTTGAATGTTGACGATTTCAAAAATAATTCAGGCGGAAAATGTCTAAGGGGATTCATTTCAAAACAACTTTAAATAAAATTAAAAAGTAAACATGATCTTTTAGTGCCACAAATAATTACGCAATGATAACCTAGTACCCGTTGTGCTGCATCGGCACCAGATAACACTACACATGTCTCAATTCCATATCTGAACATGTGGCAGCCGCATGTGACACTAAGTAGTCTTGGACATTGCTTGTCACTAAAAAGTACCAAACACTGGAAAAGCAAGCTTGAGGATAGTCGATATTACACATTATCGTTTGACTCCATGTCTTGTAAGTAAACAAGTGATACGGGGGTCATTGGTCATTTGAATCCTAAGCTAACTGATGCTGTATATATTGAGCACATATTTTTTTATTATCAGTTAGGTGGAACACAAACCTTTTTATTTTGGAATTCAGAGAAGAAGTCACCAGTGGTTAGAGTTTCAGAGATGGTATACTTCAACAGTACCTTGTTGAGGAAAATCGCCTTCTCCTTTAAATTCTTGACCATCTTATATCACTTCCAGATGTAATGTTGGTTACTCATGAACACGCCGAATATCAGATTGAAGTTTCGAGAATATATTCCTGGAATCCACATCTAATTTAATAAGAAAAAAAGGCGTGTATAGAAATAATGTAAATTAAATTTCTTAGTAACAAAATTGGCGAAAAGAGAGTAAAAATTACAGGCAACAGAAAATTTCGCTGATTAACATGAAATCGATTTAGTACAGCATATTATATATTCTGAAGCATTATGTTTATGGTATAGTTAACAAGTAATAGTCTTTTGGAAGTTTGGAATACGGTTGACAATCTATATATTAAAAAAAAAACAAATTTAGCTTTCATATTTATCCAATCGATTTGTTGATAATTTTTTGAATGACTGGCGTTGATGCACAGATTTGTCACCAAGCATTGGGACATTATATAAAATTTCATCGCTCTCAAGTTACCCTGTGTAACCATGATTTACATACATTTCTTATATTTTTACAGTTCTTTGCTCTATATCTCTGGTTCTGCGTTGAGGTACGCGGTTCGTTTTAATCTAATAACACTCTCTGAGGTACAGTATTTGAGCCTGTGTGTAATAAAGTTAGAAAGAAGCTGGGTGTGAACATTTAATAATCAAATTTTAGTGCTACAACTAAATGCACGATACAAATACACATTGTAATAGGCTTTGGAAAATAAAAACGAATTGATTTAGTAAATTTAAAAAAGGCAAAATTTATAGTAGTAGGTACAACCTCCAATGCAACTAGATTTATAAGCCAGGATGCATGATCATGCAGGATATATCGCGGTCCTACACATAATATGTAAATGTTGATCAGCGTGAACTTTGTAAGCGCGATACAGATTCAGTACGATAAAGACCCTGAAGTGAACCGTGAAGTTGATCATCGCTTTGTAATCATCAATTGTCGCATGACATTTATTTTATCTAATACTTTTCTTTTGTCATTAGTTGCTCTGAGCGACATGGGTGGCAGCGGCACCAGTTCCTCATCCTCTCACCTGTCACCCGGTTGGCAAGTCAACGATCTTGATCTGGACTTACCCGGCGAGCTGTCCATGAAGTAAGTATTATGTCTCGTGGTAAATGTGAATGACAACTTTCTTATGTCATTTTGTCTGGAGCGGACAATACATTAAACCTGTTGTATTAAGTTGTGGTTACCTCATTACATCACATCAACAGCCTTTAACAGTCCACTGCTGGTCATAAGCCTCTCCTTAAATAGGAGGTTTTGACCTACTATACCACGCTGGCCAGACGGGTTGGTGTAGGCTTTGTGTCAAGTTTTCCTTCTCTGTGCAGTGCTATTGTTCTGAGGAGATTTTTTCCCTTAGTCGGCTCTTACGCCACCCAACGGGATGAATATATAGGGGTGGGGACACTATATTCTTAATCCGTCATCACACGGACCACGTTGTGGTTACCTATAAGAAAGAAACTTAAAAATTGGACCTAAGCGAGTGTTAAAAATTTATGTGTTCTAAGATTAATCTTAAGTTGTTGGTGAACCCTTTTTTGAAAAAAAAAACATATATTGACAGGCAACGATGTTAATTAGAAATAAATTAGGAAATATGGAATGCAATGTCCCCTGGCTAAGACGTGTTGATAAGAATTTGTTATTTAATAAAACATAAAAAAAAACATAATATACCACAATTAAATAATTCGGTAATTCCAATTGATAAAACGAATTTCAATTCTTGGTGGGTTACTCCTTCGTACTTCTTTGTACGGCGTAAACAGTCCCTAAACCTGTGTCATGGAAACTGGTAACGCCATCTATAATCTAGTTCCGCACAACTCTAACGCTTTATCAACTTTATCATCCGCAGTGAAGCGCTTCTAGCGCTGCCATCTCTCGCTGTAAACTTCAAACAAGAGGCACCGTCACCTACTGGTGCGGTGCTATCACCGCCTCGGCGGCCGACTTGGGCTCAAAGAAGACCTGATGATAGACAGGTATAGTACAGCTTCCTCGGTCAGTTATGCAATGATTTCAAAATGTAAATTTTTCCTAAGACAAATTCATATAGTTGAGATTTCTTTCTTTTTACTGAGTACTTTTAACTAACAGTGCCAAGCAGAATCAAAATCTAATTGTAGCTGTATACCTAGTACATTCGCGCTAAGAAAATAGTGATGAATCGATTAAACCGCCAATGGACTATAGTGTCTTTCTAGAATCATGGATGTATAGTAATGGTGGCCAAGGTTTGTGGATTAGTGCCGTATCGCGAGTAGATCGATTCTTACTTTTTATATGACTGTTATGTCGAACCACGTCAGGGTCGAAGAATATTTAAGGTTATCCGGCGGTACGGTAACGGCTATCTTACAGACCCCGAAATTATTTCTTATACAAGCAACTCTTTCAGAAGGCAATTTGTGGCATAATGAAAAATAAGAAAATAATCATCAGGAATGAGTTTTGGCTAGTTTCTTTTATGTTAATTTAGGTTGACAAGTAAATTATTAAAAAAAAAACACAAAAAATCCGAGTGACTGAAAATGTGTCTAAATGTGTTATCTACTTAAGATTTACAAATCAGTGATTTTATTTGTGGTCTCAGAATAAGGACGAATCTAACGACACCTCCCGCCGTTCAGGCTATAGAGTGTGATATAGAAATAAACATACATATACACACTCATATAGAAATAAACACACAAACTATAATCCTCCTTCTCTCGCAGCTGGGTAAAAGTGTCACTTCAGAGCCACAACTCTTTGGAGTTGTGGTTTTACCCCTGTCCTACGTCCTGTGGTTGGAGCGGCTATTTGCTTATTTACCCACCTAAATCTTTGACCAACACCACTTCATTGTATAAAGCCAAGAGCATATTAGAAAACCCATTATTATTAACGTTTAAAATATGTTATAAATAGGTATGTTACAAATAGTAGATAGAGTTAGCCCTTGAATCTTCAGTGTTCTTCATAATCTTCGGCATTTTTTCAAATAGTTTTTTTTTGTTTATATAAAACTCCCGCACTAGGAATATATCCTGTGTCGCTGGGGACTTTACAAACATTCATGAAACAGACACAAAGAACACCCAGACTCAAAACAACAATTTGTAGACCACACTAAGTACTGTCCCATGTGGGGATCGAACCCACAACACTTAGTGCAGTAGGAAGCGACGAGGTGATCGCTTAAACCACTACGCCATCCGTGCAGTCCCAACTTAAACCTCCCCTCCTCCTCCCCATTTTTCCGACTTTTAGTCAGCTTCTAGGCATCTTTGCATTTCATCTAATTGTGTAGATCATGCTTTCTATTTTTTTATATTATTAAATATATTCTTAAACAGGAGATTATTTCTGTCGGTTCAGATATTGTATGTTTAATAAGAATTTTAATTGCGCAATGCAATCGTTATTTACTAAATATGGACTGTGCTTTGTCTTGGTTAGTTGTCTGTTTGCTCTCCAACTTCGTTTTTACTCTTAAGATATAAGGTAAAATCAATGATATTTTAAGGAAGATATTCATACTGCACGCACAAAATATTTGTTCCCTAACCTAGTACATACATCTATTAATACCTTTTAGAACAAAACATACACTGGACTGTGGTATGATATTCCTTTATCTTAATTTACTTTTTGTCGTAATTTGTGCATTTTCGGAATACACAGGAAGGCATGTTATGAATTTTGTGGAATTAATTACTAAGTGCCATTGCTCGGTCCTAATTAGGACCCTCGCGTTTTGTGCGTTGGTGGCGTATCTACCTCTTATTTGTATGTAATATCGCTGCGTAAAAGTCACATATTTTTTATTAAAGATGGCAACCACCGAATGCTCCGTCGGCAATGCCAAAGAGTTACCAAAGTCTTGCAAAAAACTTATGCAACCGTCATGGACTCCAAGAGAAAACACTATTATGTGTTTTCTACCATTTACGTCATCATAAGAACGCGCCATTTTGACCAGACCTCCCCTATAACCCCTTTTTAATATAGCTTCCAAAAGCTGCCCAAAAATGAAGCTGATAAATCCTTTGTTTTTATTCTCAGATGACAGTGGATAATTCAAATGTAAAGCAAGCCGATTGGGAATATGAAGTGAAGAATTTGTGCGAGGTGAAACTACCACCTTAACTATCTGATATTTTCTACTTCTGATTTCCTTATAAAAGATCTATCTTCACTCTTCTAGCTTTCATAGCATTTAACATCAGTTGCAAAATTGACTGATAGGACATGCCTTCAGTATATGCAAGATACTGCTTAAGTTCATTGTAGCTCACCCAAATATCTATAATTCGTATTATGCATGATTTTTCCAATAAAAACCCTGTATGCACTGTAAGAATATTAACAAATTTGAGTCTGCGGCCATAAGTCTGCTTGTAATTTTATTTATTAACGAGTAAAATGAATCCAAAACCTAAATATTAATACAAGGATTTTTTTAAACACATTACTTATGACCGTCTCATCCGAAAGGCAGGTAGAGCCTCCACTATGAGAACCAGACTGCTGATAAACATATTTAAATATTACAATAAAATCAGATCAAAAGTTAGCGTCAATTTGAACCAATTTTTTATTGCATAGCAATTTTCATCCTTTTGATAAACCCCTTTCGGCCCTGTGTTAAATTTTCTAGTAAAACTACCAGATTTATATTGATCTGTCCGTCAGTCACCCACCTAAAATATACCTACCACCTATAACCGTAAAGTTTTTCCCTCAAGAAACTTCCCTGCACCTCGATTAACAAATGCTGAAAACCCAAGTAGTTTTCGAAAAGAAAAAAAAACATGTAATTTCTAGCGGAAAAAATACTTTAATAGTGCCTTTGGAAGTTTGGACAGACGCTGAAGTAGAAAGATTCTGATCACTCCCCCATGTCTGAGCATGGTGGTTAGTCGGTCAGTCAGGCTTGCTCTAGAGCGGATGATCTCTCTACACCGGTTCATGCCCAGCACGTCTCTCACAACCGTGTACAAATTGGGGGACGATGGGTCTTCTACTTTAGCCTTCAGAGATGGAAATACACTGGTCTTTATTGTGTAGTATAATAAGAATACGCCTGGCCTGCCGCCCGCACCTCTCCCGGTCCCCGTTCTCGTCCTACCCCCTGTACCCCGCAGGCGAGGACTCAATTAAGCGGTTTATCTATAGACATTTGCATTAAACATTGTCATACCTTGACCAAGAGCTAGGGCTGTCTATATTTCCACTATATTATCTATGTACTGATAGATTTGACAATAGATCATATCTAGATAATTTTATTTATTACGGTGAACTTCGGGTCGTCTTTGAAAAGTCAGAATCTTTTGGTTCTTTCGATCTTTAGGTATGAAATTTTACCAAGGCTATCACACTTATACTGTAGTTCAGAATTGTAGCTGCCGTGGATCAATAGAGGGTTTACAGTATACTGGTAGTTGTTAACATAGGGTGGTATCCTTTGTCCTGTGCTATGAGTGTTTATAATATATATAACACATCCTGTAAATAATAGAGACGCTAAACATCTGGTGGATTTGCGTGCGTTTGCCAACTCAGTTGTTCTAACTCACTCTCTCTCTCTCTCACTCAAAGATTCCTTCTGCAATTATAAGAGGTAATAATCTTTGAAAGGCTAAATAGTTTTTCTGGGCTGAACTTCTAGAACAATCTTAATCAAATCACTTTTCACGCAAAATAAACTAAATCATAATTTTTTCAGATTATCAGATGTTACAGACACAGATTTACACGATAAACTTAAAACAACAAACACTTTTTTTTGCATTAGGGTTCAAAAATGTACCTAATTACTAGTTACTGCTAAAAATTAGTTTCTGAGGTAGGAAAATATTGAAACGTATTTTAATTTGAATTGAATTTGAAATTAAATTTGAAAGTATTAATTAACATTATATTTGATAATATTCTAACAAAAATTATAAATGTAGTCACCGTAAGACTTGTATAATAATGTCGAAAATAATTTGACAAAGTCTGCTTCAATAATAACCAATAATCATTAATTATTCATTTGTATAACTTCACACACGGCCATCTGATCCCAAACTAGGCAGAGCCTGTACTATGGTAATCAGACTACTGATAAACACACTTATATATTTTCAAATACATACATAAACTATTCCCAGACACAGAACAAAATGATCGTGCTCATCACAATTATTTGTCCTGGGTATGAATCAAACCCACGACCTCTGGCTTAGAAGTCAGGTTTTCTAACCGCTCGACCAACAGGCCCGTGTATAACCTATGTATGCAGATAAAGGCAACAAACAGAAAGAAAGAAACAAAAACAATGTATTCGTGGACGTAAGAACATACACTCACAATATAAGGGAAACTTAGTACTAGGCTTAGGCTAGGCGAAAACACAGTTTTACTTGTAGATGCCTTACGTGCCAGTCGAATAGGACATCTTCATCCATTCTTATATATTGTAAATATATTACGTTTTTTTTGAGGAAATGATTTATTTATTTTGTCCAAATATGAGCCACTGCCATTCCATCGCCATTGTAAAGACGCTGAGTTAGTGTAAACTACCGATATTTATACCGATTTCAATGGCCACTCGATGGCATCTCAATAGCGTGTCAGTGGTATGACAGTGGCTTGGCGTGAACATAAAATAGCAGAATTGAGGCCCTGGTTCAGGCCCTGACAGAAGTCAAGCGCTGGTTTTCAACCAGACCTTTTAATGAGTGACGGACGTAAAGCGGCCTATGCAATAATAAAAAATTAAATAGTTATAATCTAATATGAACTATACTTCAAAGGAGCGAAAGATATTATTATTAAAAAAGCATACATTTTATACTAAACCATTCACACAACCGCAACAATGGCATGTAACAAACAATAATAATGTCCATTATGTTAATCCAAATAGTGTACAAATTCATTTCCATTTATGTTCTTTATATTCTATCTCTCCCGTAGTTACAGAGACGAAGTAAAATACCCTTAAATTTTTATCCCGCCCAAACTGCACCTATTTTCGTCACGATTTTGGTCCCACTGTAAACTAAAGTTCATATATTTGGTTGATGCAGATCACCAGTATGGTGGTGGACAACCAAAGGGACGTGATGGATGAAGGTAGCTGCCAGCAGTCGCCACCTCACAACGGCACCTTGATGGAACAGCACGGTATGTATATACTCGTAGCGTAAAACAATATATAAACATTGACCTAACGTTTCAGTTGCGGGCTTAATTCCCGTCCAATAATTTGTCTATCTGTATTGGGCTGGGTGTTTCTATGTAAAAGATGTATTACATAAATAAATGTGTTAGTATGTATACTACCAGGGATAATGTGGATCAGGTTCGCTGCGCAGCGGGTTCCTACACAGGAGGGGTTTATCTACACGCCGTAGATGAGGTACGTCGGATACCAGGGATTTGATTTCTAGGATACACCTGATTCCCCGGCTACTGGTACCCTAGACGGCGTGTGGTTTTTGGTCGGTCAAAGTATTCCCCCGGGTAAAGTATTGTACTCCGCCAAAGTATTGGAACTCCGCCGTCTCCTTCGGCGAGCAGATTGCTTGCGAAGGAGACGGCGGAGCGAGACTGGGTGAGGTTCAGAACCCTACCGGTTCGCCAGGCCCGAGAACGGGCCAGGTACCGCAGACGGCTCAGGCGCCGTCCTCCATAAGCGCAGGCCTGAGGGTGACAGGTGACACCATCTGTCGCTCTAGCAGAAGCAGGCCGGGGTGGGTGGTGGCGCGACGCGCTACGGAGCGCACGCCCTTCGGGGCAGGAAGGGAATATCTATAAGCCGTAGATGGCCCGAGGTACGTCGAAGTACCAGGGCTTTCCTTTCTAGGGTATACCTGGTTCCCCGGCCTGCTACCTGGAGACGGCGTGCGGTTTTTGGTCGGTTCGAGTCCGACATAATCACCCACTAGTGGGTGGTATCCAAGGGGAGTTCCGCACAAAAAAAAAAGGGTAAAGTATTTCTAAAATTTCTGATGGGGCAGTTGGACTGAGGCCACTCGAACAGTAACATCGGCTGAGATAATTTAACAGTAGTATGACACAGAACTCTAACTCTTAACTAATATTCTAAATTCGAATTTGTTTGTTAAGCTTTGACAGCTTAATTGCTCATCCGATTATTATGAAACTTAGCATAGGCATACGTTGTCAGGGGTACAGAAAAGAATAGAAAAGGACCTTTTAGCAAAAAATACCTTTTATCCAAAAATAAGATCTGTTCTCGGAGATAGGGATCCCGTGTGCTAGGAAATATGGTTGGGCAGTTAAAACTATGGTTGCACTCCTTTCTTTTGCTGTAGAGTATTTCCCCCAGCTGCGGGATATTCTACAAAACATTAAGCTCGTAATAACAGTACCAGTAACCCAACCAAAGAGTCGCCCTTAAAACCTCTGGTATTCACATAAAAGTTGCAATACGAAATTTTGCGTCATTTAAAGATTTGCAACTGTTCTTAAAAAGTGTCTTTTGAGACTTCACAACTTCTTAAATATTTTGATGATAAATATTGGACTATTTGTATCACAGGATGTCCAGAAAGTATGCAGTGTCAGCCCGCGATGCCTTCCGGGAACATGATGCCAATAAATGGTTACCATTCACCTAACGGACAAGAAAATAAGAGTTAGTATTTATTTGTTACAACAAGCAAAAAGACCTACGATGTTCATGTGATTATGGAAAAACTAGCATTTGCTGCTTCGTGCGCTCGAATATAGATTTTGTTCACCGATTTGATGATCCGTTCGGAATTGTTGGTACTTTTTTCTGTACGAAATATACTTAGATCGTATTATGTACCCCTGACAACATGTGTGCAACATTATTTGCTGGTGCAAAGATTGGCCATTACCATTCAATGCAGCAAGTGTGATGTGCACCTTTCCACCGGAAACGATCAGGAACGTGTTTTTTTTTTGTTTTCGTTTGTATGAATATTTACCGTGTGGTGATGGATTAAGAATATAGAGTGCCACCACCCCTATTCATCCCGTGGATGTCGTAAAAGGCGACTAAGGGAGCAAACTACGCAGGACAACAGCACTGCAGAGAGAAGGAAAACTTGACACAATCCCTATACCAACCCGTCTGGCCAGCGTGGTGTAGTAGGCCAAAACCTCCTTTCCAAGGAGAGGCCTATGTCCAGCAGTGGACTAGTAAAGGCTGTTGATGATGATGATGATTGTATGAATTTGCTAGTTCTTATGTCTGCGTCTGTAATATATTTTTTGTAAAATTAGTTTATTCAATACTGAATATATAATTAATTGGTATATTTATTTTGGTTTGAGTTTGACTCACTAAAGATTAAATTGCGCTGACAGCTTGCCATTGGCCTATAACCACTAATACTTTCTTCTTTCTTAATTTTATTAGATAAATCCCTCACTAGGAATAATTCCTGTTTTCGAGGACTTTACAAACATTTGAGCAACGGACTGTAAACACAACCAAACTCACGCCAACTATTTGTAGATCACACGACATTTTGTCCAGTGTAGAATTTAAAAAAAATGTGAACCATCACAAACTTATGTTAATGTTTTGTCTAGATACGGGTCTTCTTATGTGTTCGCCTGTCAGTTCGCTGGACGGGTTCCTACAGTCTTCGATACAGCAACGCAGTGACCCCAGCTTTAAGGACGATACCAGGTAAAATCATTTTATGAACTCTCTTTTTCACCATTTATATATAAACTACGTTGTAAATTGTTCAATTGACAAAATTATAGCATCACGTCACGTTTATTAGCTAGCTCTACTGTGTACTACTTCCGCATTCAGTGCCATCTAGCGAAGTCGAGCCGAACTAAGTCCTAGAACTTATTCTACATCGCACAATAAAAGATTTCGCGCTTTTTAGTGTATATACAACTTCCCTATTACATTCGTAGCGCTGCGATCCGCCAGGCATTGCCACGGAACCTGATTGTAGTAAGTACTGATGTTCTGTCGGCATATTACAACCAATTCCTTCACACTTAATGACTGGATACATGTCTTTCACAACCCTATTCAGTGGATTTACTGTATTTCCAACTCCTCCAATTTTCTTCTGATTAATTTCGTTGCGGGTTCCAAGACAGTTTAATTTCTTCCTGGGACTTCCCGAGTGTCATAACTCGGTGTGTTCGTGGGTCACTGCTGTGGATCCTGGTGTACAGTAGTTACAGTGGTGGGCGTGTGGGTGGGATTAGTCCCAATTAAAAAAAAACCCTATTCAGTCACACACATTAGTCAATTGATACGGTTTGGCTATAAAAAGAGAGATAACAAGAGAAAATTTGATACTGCTCTTGATTCTTCATTTAGATGACATTTTAACTCTTTGGACTTGAGACATTGTCAAGAGAGAACAAACTACTACTTTTAAAATTATTATCTACTCGAAGACAAGAATAAATTGCAAAATCAGAATAAAATCTAGGTTACATTTTATATGATTTTCATTTTATTGTCATTAGATTCTTATATAAAGTTTGTTACTAAAGCTAACATAAAACTAGTATATGACTATTCTAAAATGTGCAAGATTGAATATAAAGAGGTGAAAACAAGATATAAAAAATTATTTTGCAAACGCAATGAGCTAGGTGTGAGCCTGTGTTTCAGGCAGTCGCTTGACTATGTTAGTTACAGGACGTTCATATGTTAAAGTTCTAATAGATTGATAATGTAAATTACTTCAACTTGTTTGTATACACAAATAATAATAACAACTAATAATAATAATAATAACAACTTCACACATCTCACACACCGCAGTCTGATCTCAAACTAGGCAGTGCCTGTATTATGGTAACCAGACTGCTGATAAACATACTTATATATTTTTAAATACATACATATTATAGATAAATTACACCCAGACACAGAACAAATGACCGTGCTCATCACACAATATTTGTCCTGGGTGGGAATCGAACCCACGACCTCCGGCTTAGTAGTCAGGGTCACTAATCACTAAACCAACAGGCCCGTCTGATCCACAAATATATATTACTTATTGTTTAATAACCTAATTGTAGTTTAAATTAGATAATTTCTAAATTGCTAAGATGTTTTCTGTGTCTGAGTAGTTAAGCCTAAGCCTAGTTAAGCCGAAGATAAAAGAAGGAGAGTCTTAGGTTCACTTTTACTCTGTCAGGTTCCAATACGTCCTCGCAGCTGCCACGTCTATAGCAACAAAGCAGAATGAAGAGACACTCACATACTTAAACCAGGGCCAGCCTTACGAGATCAAGTTGAAGAAGTTGGGTGACCTGTCCCAATACAAGGGCAAGATATTGAAGGTAATATGATAGGATGATATCTTCTTTGAAACTTGTTAGAAAATAAATAACTAGGGCTGAATGTAGTTCGTGGAGAGAAATCTTACTTCGGGAAACGATATATTGTTTCTAAATGCATGATTTACATTAATTGAATTCAAATATACTATATTTACTGTCGGTGTGGTGACGGATTAGGAATACAGAGTATCGCCACCCCTACTCATCCCGTTGCTGTCCCGAGACGAATCAGGGAGCAAACTACGCAGGAATACAGCACTGCAAAAAGAAGGAAAAATTGAAACAAACCCTATACCAAACCGTCTGGCCAGTGTGGTATAGTAGGCCGAAACCTCCTAAGGAGAGGCCTACCTATGTCCAGCAGTGGACTATTATAGGCTGTTGATCATGATACTTTATTGGTAACTAGCTGCTCCGACAGACTTCGTTCTCGTTAGTCGGGAGTGTTCTTAGCTATGTTTGATGAAAATCGGTCCAAGATGGCCGCCGCCACAAAATGGCGGATTATATATTTTTTTTATATGGGTATCAAATGAAACAGTTTGACTAGTAGAATACTGTATAGTATTGAACTGATTGAATACTTTGATTTGATTTGATTTTTTTTAAAAAGACAACTCCCGCATTAGGAATATATCCTGTGTCGCGGGGGACTTTACAAATATAGATGAAACGGACACAAAGAACATCCAGACTCAGAACAACAATTTGTGGATCACACAAAGTGTCGTCCCATGTGGGGTTTGAACCCACAACACTCGGTGTAGTAGGAAGCGGCGTGGCGACCGCTTAAACCACTACGCCATCCGTGCAGTCATACTATCAAAAATTTCAAATCCAAGATGTGTGTCGGGGGTTTAATACTGTAATATATTTTTTTTATTATTTTCTCCATAAGAACCTTCCTTGTGCCTTAACGAATTTATAAAAAAAAATAACCTAGTTGGTTGAGCCGTTCTCAAGATTTGAGCTTAGCAACTCATCTCGCGGTTCATTTTTATTTATTTAGATTGTTAGTTCAAACACGTCTAATTGTATAGTTAGCCCGTTAATTTTAGCTTTTTAACTCGAACATATGCTGCCATACCATCCCATACCATACCCATAATTTCTGTACGCAATTTCATAGAATTTCCAATACCGTTACCCAAGTTTTTTTCATAACGAGAAATTTGTTTTGTGCACCAGAGCGTTATCAAGATCTGCTTCCACGAGCGTCGGTTGCAGTATATGGAGAGGGAGCAGATAGCTCAGTGGCACACGGAACGACCCGGAGAGAGGATAGTTGAGGTTTGTATTGTCTTCTCATTTTTTAATCATCACATAACTTGTTAATCAGACCCTTGAGAATTTCATTTTATTAATCGATAGTCGATAGAATTATCGTTAAAATTAAGTTTGTCTTGATGTCCCTATCCTGGTGGCCTTTCGTATCACAAGGCTCTTGGAGTCCTGCAGTCTTCATCCCGCTTCCCATCCTTACTACCTTATTTCACCCTTTATCCCATCGACACGACATTTTCAAGGAGGGCTGACGTTTGTTCGACGACCACCTAAAACTCTTTAATAGTGCTCCATATGAAAGCAACAACTGCTTGCTTATAATATGCAAGATTAATGGATAATTCTTGCCCCATTAGTCTAGTGGTCAGTGATCTTAATTGATAAGCCAGAGGTCGAGGGTTCGATTCCCAACCAAAACAAATACATAATCGTGTGATGAGAACGTTAATGTTAATAATAATAATGTTATTTATATATAATATGTATTTATCAGTCTTCTGGTTACCATAGAACAGGCTCTACCTAAGTTGGGATCAGACTGCCATGTGTAAAGCTTTTATTATAGACAGACAGACAGACAAAAAAAAAAATTAGTAGTTTTTAGGCATAGGTATCGTATATAATAATTCTACAATTCTTTCAGTTATATGACGATTTTCTAGATGCAGTTGATCTTACAAGTTTTGATTGCCAACAGGTGGATGTTCCGCTGTCGTACGGCGTGATCCGAGTGGAACAACCAGCTTGTCTGAACGCGTTGCACGTTTACTGGGACCCTACCAAAGATGTCGGCGTTTATATCAAGGTCAGTTCAGATGGCTGAATAAAAGATTAATTGAATGACTCCTTACTGCACACCGTGATTAGGAAACATACAATGTAGAATACAAACAAAAAAAAACAGTGCAGCCCAACTTCCTAGGTGAATAGAACTGTAGGTGAGAAACTTTGTGCGACCTGAATTGAGCTTTATTGTGTCAGATCAAAAGTCGCAATTTATGTAAATAATTTTACGGACAATGGATTCTGCCCTAATAACTAATCTGTACCAACGTAGACAAGACCTTATTAAACCTTCGATATGGTCGAATATAGCGTTAGCACGTACATGCATAACCAGTATGCAGTTTACTCAAGATATACCAAGATATACATGACATCTTGACCAAACTTCTAGTAGGTATATAAACTGAAAATCTTTCTGTTACCAGGTTAACTGCATCTCAACAGAGTTCACAGCGAAGAAGCACGGCGGCGAGAAGGGCGTGCCCTTCCGTATCCAGGTGGAGACGTACTTAGGGAGTGACGAACACACCAGACTGCATGCTGCTGCTTGCCAGATCAAGGTATTTGTTTGGAGTAAATAGAGACCAGTCATAAGCAGTGGTTGTATGTAATAGAAGAGAAAACAACGGCAAAGTGTTCTTAAAATAATATCTCTTACAAAAATAACAATTGAATTGAAAATGATTAAGTCCATTATATTAGCGAGTTCGATTGTTGCCAAGTACAGATTATTGTGTAATGAAAACAATTATTTTTTACTGGATTGGAATCTATAAGTATGTTTATCAGCAATCTGGCTACCAGGATAAGCTTTTCCTTATTTGGAATCTGATGCCCTTGGTATTATGATAGACACGTGAGACTTAATATTTGTAGCATATTCAGTTCCATAAAATTCGTGTTAAAATAACTTTGCTTCTCAAACATTCAAGAAATCATCTTAACTAGTCGATCTGCTCTCTCGCCTGGGTTGTTTACAATTTCTGTTGGTTCCAGGTGTTCAAGCTTAAAGGTGCGGATAGAAAACACAAGCAGGACCGAGAGAAGGTGATGCGGAGACCTCGCTCTGACTTAGAGAAGTACCAGCCTGGGTGTGAAGCCACCGTCCTTACTACGGTACTAATTTAATATTTTAATGAGTGTATACGCGTTTTGTGGTTACTGTCCCGCTCCTAAGGCTTATAGCGAGATGTTAAATAGTCTAAAACCTCCCTTAAGAACTCAGCTCACGAGTACAAGGAGTATTTTTTAAAACGGACTGGTGGTTTCAGAGATTGTTCATCTCAAGAAACAAAATCTCAGTCTTAGTTATTAGTATGGATTATTTAAGCCATCTATAAATTACGTTACACGTCAAAGGGGGGAGGTGTTTCAACGGAGTGAGACATTATGTGACAGACCTTTCAATAATCAATAAATAAATATCTAATAATAATATTTTCGGACATTGACACACAACGCCATCTAGTTTCAAACTAAGCAGAGCTTGTAATATGAAAACGATTGACTGATAGAATATTTATATACTTTTTTTGTAAATACATACATATGAAATATAGAAAACACCCAAAATCCGAAACTATTAAAATATAAATTAAATAATAATATTTAATATTTGCAGATCATACAAACATTTCGTCCAACTCGGGAATCTAACCCGAGACCTCAGCACAGCAGTCGCATACGTTACCACTGCACCATTGAGGCAGATATAATAATGAAAAGTTTTATGTAATAATAAACAGCTTTTAGTAGTCCACTGCTGGACATAGGCCTCTCCTCAGAAAGGAGGTTTTGGCCTACTATACCACGCTGACCAGACGGGTTGGCATATTGTTTGTGTCAAGTTTTCTTTTTCTTTGCAGTGCTGTTGTCTTGCGTAGTTGGTTCCCTTAGTCGACTCGTACGACACCCATGAAGGATGAATAGAGGTGGTGACACTGTATTCAATAGTGTAGATGACTATAATTAATAAAGTCCAATCTGCATCTTTTTATTGAACTTCAAAACGATAGACACGGTACATTTTTATATGAAACTAGCTGTACTCTGCTTCTGCTTCGCTGTGACGCATTGTGGTTGCATTGATGAGAAAAGAGTAACAAAACTGACGCGAAAAATAGATCAGAACAATCTTTAAAGAGGTTTCTTTATCATTTCAAAATTTGAACTCAATCGATAAGGAATTTTTTGAGTTTTCAGCAGCAGCACAAACCAATTTAATATAAAGATAGCACAATAATAATATATTTGACAATAGCTAGGTCTGACGATGTAAAATTATAAAATATTTATCGTCTCAACATATTTACACGCATTGGGACCCCTCCCTCTGGAAGGGGTGACTCCATCACGGAAGATCACGGGGTGAAAGGGTCAATAAATTGTATTTTTTTATGTCGTGTCATAATTTATGTCCAAAATTATACCTACTACAGATACCCTTTGCTTTTAATTTATGGTCTATTTTATTTTGACAGCTGTCAAACGATGCGCTGATGCCGCCTCCATCTTTGGTCACCACGTCACCGCCGTACTCGCCTGAGTTGTGGTAAGTCTATCTGTTTATTAAGAAGTGTAGTGAATGATAACAGTCTACGTGTGAATAACCCTCTAAAAAATGTAGATGGCGTTACTGTATCTGTCACCGGCTGTTAAGTGACTACCTCCGCCCATAGACACCTGTAACTCTCAAATAATGTCACAAATACGTTGACGTTATTTGACCAATTGATTGACCAAATGATTGGCTCACCGATATTGTGGCATGGAGCTCAATAAAATACTGTTAAATCATAGTATACCTTAGGACGACCTTGATCCACCGAGATGCACCAACTGTGGACACACGATCACAGATCTAAAAACAAATATTACTTAAAATTAAAACTGGTCAGGTACGAGTCGAACTCGGGTGCCGAGGGTTCTTTACCTACCCAGATTTTATGTAGATTTTCGCGAAAATTTGTGAGTAGAAAAATTAATCTTAATTTTCATTTTTTTTTTATTTTTTGGAGTTATTCCTTCTTTTGTGCTGTAAGACGTTTCTTTTTGCCAAACTTCGTGATTCTAGGTCAACGGAAACTACCATGTAGGTTTTCGACCTATAGGGTACTTCCGGTTGACCTAGAATTGTCAATTTTGGTTAAAAGCAAGGTCTTACAGCACAAGTAAAGAGAAAATTCTGAAAAATAAAAAAAAATGTAAATTTTGGTACTTACAAGTTTTCGCGAAAATCGAAATTTGCCCATATCTTTTTATCGTGTTGACTCAGGACCTTGATTTTTATACACCTAATAGGGACCATAGACCTCAGTATCTGGTATAAATTTCAACTTGCTAGGTCTACCCGTTTATGAGAAAATCGGTGGTGCCATACGGACAGACGGACAAGAAAGTGATCTTATAAGGTTCCTTTTTTACCTTATTAGGTACGGAACCCTAATGCCTCCAACTATAACAAAATATCTGCTGACCTTTAAACGATTGATCAGATTTCCTTGAATAAGAACACTCGATCAAGTCCCCATCCCAACAAATAAAAAACAAAATTGATACTTCCGTTTAGGAGGTACCATGCAACAAACAGACCTACAGACTATCACGATTGACCCGAGAACCTCCTCATACTACACGTCGGATAATAAACCGCTGCTTTATAGGAATATTTCTCTGCATATAACAGGCACTTAATTGGTGGACAATGCCCACGTGTCCACGTTGAGGTCGCCGCCGGTACAATCATATGATTAGTAGAGAATTAAAGTCGCCTTGCACTGACCTCGCAGCGTGGCCTCTATCGAAATGCGCATCACTTATCACGCTATTGTTCTAGAACTAAACTAGCTGACTTTAAAGAGTTCGTTACAACATGCGATTTGTATTTTATTTATTTCTATACTAGCTTCAAAGGGGAAAGCGTTTTGAGAGACGCTGTTTTGGAGAGGAAGATTTTTTCCCCGTTTTGATTACATTTTTCGTTGATGCTCGGATCCTTCCTAGATAAATGGGCTATGCGAACCAGTAGTTCCTGAGAAAAGCGCGTTCAACCAAACAGACTTTTTAAGCTTTATAATATTAATATAGATATTTATGCACATTACTGACTGATTTGTTGGTCCAGTCCATCAGGCTACAGAGCAATACGAGGCAACTAGCCTTGAGAGCATTGCCTCTAAATGGCAGGCTTTAAAAACATTTATAACTACACCTAAAACTCATCTGGTTAACTGCACTGTGTGTCATGTGACAGGACCTTTAAAATCATGTTGGCCAGTTATATCCGCGCCCATATCAGAAATCTACAGTACTAGTGTTTTTGGTGACCCTGACAGACACCTAGGCCAGAGGCTGAGTGTTCGACTTCCACCCAGGACAAATATTGTGTGATGAACACGATCATTTGTTCTGTGTCTGTTTGTCATTTATCTATACTTTGTTCATATGTATTAGAAATATATAAGTATGTTTATTTAGAAATATAATATACGTCCGGTTCACGGCAACCAGCTTGCCGTCCATTTACGTCAGTGGGACATGAAAATATGTGGGCGTTTAATACAGGGTAGGCAGAGGCGTTTAAACAGGTTAAAATTTACAAAAGAAATATATAGGTATATTTTTTTAATTTAGAATCCAAGTAAAATATACTCTTTTCATTTTAATAGGTATTGATTATATCCCTTATTTGTGATTACCATAGATATACCGCCACAAATAGCATCGTCGACAGCCTTCAATAGTCCACTGCTGGACTGCTGGATAAGCCTCTCCTTTGAAAGGAGATTTAGTAGTAGTTTGCTACCTTTGTCGACTCTTACGACAGCCATGGTGTGAATGGGGGTGATGACATTCCGTATTCTTAATCCGGGACCATATGGACTCATAAATATGTAAACATTTCCCATCCTCCTAATAAAAAAAATAAGTTTTTCTAACTACAATGATCTATAGTTACTAAGTCAAAAAGAACACAATTGATTATTACGCAATGACGTGACAGTTCATTCATACATCCAAAACGAACCGACCGTATTAGATTAAATTGAACGCTAAATATAGCTCATATGATAATCACACTGGCTATAACCGGTTATAGAGGATGTAATGATGTTGTAAGCAGACTACATTTGACTGTGTATGACCGTTGGGAAGTTGAACTGTTCTGGTAGGATCTTCGTGTTACTTCTAACCGACTTAGAAAAGGAGAGGTTCTTTATTCGACCGATTTCTTTACTGGTTACTCGAGATTTTCGACTGCACGGATGGCGTAGTGATTAATGGCTTAAGGCGTCGCTTCCTACTACGGGTTCGATCCCCACATGGGAACAACCAACAACACTTTGTTTGATCCACAAATTATTCTTCTGAGTCTTTGTGTTCTTTGTTTTTTTATAAATGTTTAGAAAGTCGGACGCAACACAGTTGTCTTTTTTTTTTATTATGAACCGATTTCAATTCAAGATTGGTTCAATGAAGATTTGGAAAAAAATTTTTTACCCTAAGGTTTATAATTTCAGCCATAAAACGTCTACTGCTGGACTTCCTATAATAACTTTCAGAAGATAGATTGTTGTTTACTTTAATTTAAAAACCTAATTCGTTCGGATATGCTTGACTACCTCGGTGGTGCAGTGGTAGCGTATGCGACGGCTGTGATAAATTCTCGGGTTCGATTCCCGGATCGAACCAAATGTTTGTATGATCAGGAAATATTTGTTTTGGCGTTGGGGTGTTTTCTATGTGTTTTTTTTTGATTTAAAACGGTTGGTGTTGATGACTATGTGTTTCTTAATTATTTTTTCTTGATTTTAGGGATATGACGGAGTACCTTTAAACTGTGTAAAGATTTTTATATGTGTGATATATTGATATTGATATATTTAGCGGGTTTAGTTCTAGTTGGTCCGTCCGACCGAGCGTAGGTATTACCTACCTAAGTTATAAAAACTATTCATAAGTTAAAAACTCTGTAAATAAACATTTTTGACATGGTTTTTTTTTATGATATAAATAATCAATTTGATTTGGTTTAAAACCAACCAGACATAACGTTGTCTCTTTCATGCGCAAGCAAAAAGTGTATAATATAATAGATAATAATAAATAAGCATAAGTAGATATACGTACATACTTAACTTTCCGTGTAGTAGGTAATGTAGGTAGGTACTTTCTATTGATTTCTATAAACTAATTAAAACGAAACATGACGTTAGTTGACCAAAAATTGCCCACAATGAAGTGTAAAACACAGTTCTTTTATTTTTGTGGACGAGTTTTCAACCAGATTTATTTACGAGGTTTAAAACGTCAACATTTTATTTAAAGCGTTTTAAATCGGTTGTTTTACATCTATAGTTCCGTCCGATATCAGCGACCTATAAATATTGCATATAAAGATGCCCTGTGGCATAGTCCTATCATAATAATATTATAATTAATTACTCCACACTGACACCACATTAGCAGTATCTACATTGCACCCGTGCGAAGCCAGGGCGGCCCGCTAGTCAAATAAATAAATAAATTAAGATAAACAAATTCCCTCCGATCCTCCTGATAATGCGGGTCTCAAAAGATTTCAATTTGCTTGTTTGCCCCTATGTCATAAAAAAAAGAAAGTCCACATTAAGGTTACCCGAGGTTACGAAGCTCTTACATTTCTCATAAATATTCACATCCGTATAGCTTGTTCGTGCGCACTCAGCTATGCGAGCCTTTTCTACCACAGGGTTCGTTGGGGTCAATGACTTTGATGGCTTATTGTTGTTTAGTGCGAACGTTGGACCATTTGTAGTTTTCATTTTGATTTAACTAGCTGACTTTCGTCTGCGTTTTTTGAAGGGAATAAAATTACCCCGTTTTTGCAATATTCTTCATTGGTGTTCCGCTCCTATTATAGCCTATAGCCTTCCTCGATAAATGGGCTATCTAACATTGAAATAATTTTTCAAATCGGACCAATAGTTCGTGAGATTAGCGCGTTCAAACAAACAAGCTCTACAATAATATTAGTATAGATTTATTAATTTTATTCTTATTTCACTTATTATCTTATACTTTTGATGCTGACACCCTTGTGGAATGCATTGCCGATAAACATCAACCAAAACAATAAACAGATTCAAGAAAATGGTTCAAGAATGTTAAATATTTTGAATAAGTCAGTTACGTATTAAGGCATGAGGTGTTAGTTTTTTTCTATGTGATATACTTAATAATAAATAATAATAAATTTGTCGGTATGTATAAATATGTGTTTTATGTGTAAATATTTATCTAATTTTACATCTTTTATATTAATTAGTAATTAACCTGACAAAACTCATTGCACTTTCAACTACCGCTGTCTCTCCGAAACATTTTGATCCATCCTAAGGTTGCCTGGAAGAGATTGCTTTTACAATAAGGCCGCCCTTTGTACATTACATGTCTAACATTTTTATGTACCTACTTTTTGTAAAACGGTGTACAAAATAAAATTTTCTATCTATGTATACAAACGAAATACCCGTACAGTAGTACGTAGTACAACAGCACTGCAAAGAGAAG